TTACCAGAAGTCCAGCTGTACAGGACTCAGAGGAAGAGGGAAAACTACAACAGATACATTTTTTAAACCTTTAAAAGTTGTCTAAAATAGCAAATATTCAAAGTCTGATATCTCAGGATCTTTCAGGTCTAAAACCAATTTCTGTGTTCCTCATTGGGAAGGTGAGAAAATCTCCGCTTTCATAGGAGAGAAAGTCAGTTTCCAAACCTGAAAAGTAGCAAAATATTTGAATTTAGCTGTTACTGGTCCAGGGCTGAGCCTGTCCTATATTTTAGTCCAGTGTAATTTTGAGAAGTGAATTTGGGGGAGAAAGGAGGAAATGTTTCTTTGTCAGGTTGATTGCATTTTTAAATGTCTGCAGTTTGAAGCTGCTCATAGGCTTGGAATGCTAGAATAAGTCCCAGAAGAGATGGATTAGTGAGCAGAGGGTAGGTGTAATGGCCAAAGGTTCGTGATAAATGCAATTTGTCACATTATTCTGTTGCAAAGATATCCCCACATGCATTGTTTATGTGTAACCGTGTGTGTGTATATTTGTGTATGGGTATAATAGAGTGGTGTGTGTGTATGTATATCACTTTGGGATCCTTCTGGGTGAAAGTTGCTTATATAAGTGTAAGACACTGTTTTCATTACTGGTTTTACTGCAGTAATCCTCCATTATTTCCTGGCTATCCAGACCTTATGACAGTTTGTATTGTGTTGTCATATACATGAGAAGGCTGTTTATGAGATGTTGGGGACCAATGAGAATGGACCCCCATCTCCAGCAGAGTGTTCTTTTCTAATTAAATTGTCACTAGAAGGAACATCCGGAGCAGCAGTTTTCATTTTGGATTGGAGGCAAAACATTATGAGTTTTTGTCATTTGATTAAAAAGTTACTTAACCTTTAAATTGCTACAGATGTAAAGATGGCTCTGAGTTTCCAATGTAATCGCCTCAAAGTTAAAATCAGGAAAATCTTTGTGTAATGAAATCCATATGTCATAGTGAAAGGATGCAAAGTGCTGGCAGAGTGGGCTGCTCTAGCAGGAGATTCTGCACCCAATCTTGTTAGCCAGGGCTGCTTTTGGTAATCCCTCATCTCCTCACTTGTAAGAAATCAATCTGTACCACTGAATCTTTTCAGCCAGCAGCCACAAAATTTACTGCAGGAGGCAGTTTGGGGACAGTTGTAGTAGAACAGGAGCACAAGGCAACAAGGCTAAATGCAGGATTGAGGGATTGAAGTTCTAAAGAAGAGATTATATTAAACCTAACTCCACCCTCTGAGCAAGTGGAAATCACAGCTTCCCTTTTCCACCCTGACCTCTCCTGTCCAATACATGCTCTGAGATCCACCTCTTCCAAGGCAGAAAATTTAATTCCTGGGTCAGGGGTCCCCATTATTTACAGCAGTCTGATGCCAGTGTTTTATGCAGTCTGAGGAAATGGAGGATCTGTTTAAGCACTCGACTTTTATTGTAACCCAGGCTGATAACATCTTTAAAAGGTGTTTTTCTGTCGTCTTCAATACCCACCCCCCCTTCCCCACCTAACTGAGGAGATTAATTTGTAACCAGGCTATTGCGATCGTATCCATTGTTGATTTTCTATTGTAGTGATAGATGCACAGCATAGGAAGGGTTGTAAATTGTGACTTGACATGGAGATTCATGTTTCTATTTTATGCTGCACAGACTCTGTGGTGTCTGTTTGCTGGTACAATGAAACCTGCGCTAAGACCCCACCTCCATTAGGCAAGTGCCTGGTTTAAGCAACCATTTTAAATGATCCCAAAGGCTTCCAGTACGTTTTTTGTCCAGCCTTTTAATTAAAAGATCCACCACCTCTGTCTACTAGGCAACTGGCTTCTGCTGTTCCCTTGGGCAGTTGCTTAAGATAGGTTTTACGGTCTTTCTCTTTGACTGCAATCACTTTTATAACATAGAGGTGGTTTCTTCATTCTCCAGCTTCTACAGAAACCCAAACGACTCCAAGATGCCCACCTGGAAATGCTATTCCCATCATAAAGAATTTGTTTAACCAGGAGCTGGGTAGACGGAGCACTTTTAATATTGCAGACTTTTTTATTGAACACTCATGTTCAGGAAAGACTCCAAAGCAGATTTTAAAAAGGGACCAAGGAAGGAATAGCGAAGACATTTGAATGCAGAACCCTGTAATCTGGATCTGTCCTGTGTTTACCAGCAATACACTGACCTGTGATTCTTGGGAAGATCAGACAGTCAGGCAGAGCAGGGAAAACAAGATTATAAATATTTGTGTAAACTTGCCTTTATAGTTTGGCTGGGATTTGTTTGCATTATGGGGATGTATTTCATAGCAATCTCTATACATATACAAACATGTGGGGCCCTCTCTTAGTTTGGTGTCATACCTTTAAAAATAGAGCCCTGACACAGCCCGTGTGTGGAGAAGAGAAATACAGAATAGCAGAAGGCTGCCTCCTGCTCCTAATGGGATTTTGTAGCAGCATGTGCGAGTTTGTTTCAGAAGTCAGAAATGAACAGATGTTGGTATAAATTACCTCTGTGTCTGATGTCTTGCAAATTAAAAGCGCGGTTGGCATCACTAAACAATTTCACCAGGTTGGGCGGGGGGGGAGAGCGGGCGGTGATTATTGTAGCAGGTCGGTAAGAATCTTAAGCTACAGCAGAGTAGGATAGCAAGGATAAAGGAATGAAGAATAAAATGAGAGGTCTGTGAATTAATCAGAAATGTTAACATCTCCGATGACAAGTGAACAGGAGGGCACGTGCTCTGGAGCAACCCCCAACCCACAGTAATTTCACTCAGAGCACAGACGACGGAGTCTATGCTCACTGCTTGATTTATAGGGTGCAACCCTCTTTGGGGGAACGGAATTGTCATACATGCGTATATCTCCTATATGGGTCTGATTTTTAGGAAATCTTGCCACTCTATCAGCTGAGAATGCTGTAGCTGGATTTTGTGCTTTCTCCACAATAGCATTTTACAGCGCTGCTCTGTTAAATAGTGTGAAGCATGGCAGTGTCAGGGAGCTGTTTGCATTGAGGAGTCTGTTTCAAACTGAAACCTCTAGAAAACTCACATTTTTATTAATCATATTATTGGTTTGTTTATAACAATATAGTTCTGAACCAAAAAATTCAAACCACCCTCTGCCCTTCTCCAGCTCCTTCCATCCGGGAGTCTCAGAGCACTTTATTGATATTAACACCTTGGGAGGCAGAGAGATATTTTTATTATTACACCCATTTTGCAGGTGGGGAAATCGAGGAACAAAAGGAGTAAATGGTTTCCTGGGCTCACAAAATGAATCAAGGGCAGGGCTGGGAATAGATCCCAGATTTCCTGAAGCCCAGTCCAGTTCTTTAGACAAAGGACTGTTCTTCAGTATAATGGGAGGATCCTGTGTATTCTGCAATTCCTCAGCCATGGAACCTGCCATAGAGTTCATCCTTTTTCTTGGAATTGTGCTCCAGAATCCATGTTTACATTTAAAAAAAGAAATTTCTAGCCATCATGATTGAAAACATGAACCAGTGTCACTGATGCAGTAATGTCTGCCTGAGTCTGCAGGCAGCCTGAAACAAAAGCTCTGATAGCTGAGATGTGTCCCATTCATTTCAACAGGGTGTTGACTCTGAAACCTAATCATGCCAATTTATCTGCCAGCATTAGCTATTTCACTGTTGACTGTTTTAGCAGAAACATCCAGCTACTGGACACAGCTTCTTCAGGTAGGGAAGTAGAGATCGGTAGTTTAGGGAATTGAGGATGGCATCTGAGGCCTTTCAATAGTAGGGCATGAGTTCTAATCAGCCAGGTGAGTAGTGACCAAATGTCTTTGCCTGATGATGGGTGTTTAGTAGCTTATGTGAAATGAGTCAGGTTTTAGTTCAGTTCCTACAGGGGTTATTTGTCACTTTTGCTGTTCCTCTCAGTAGAGAGGTCAAGAACTATGAATGGACCTTATAAAAACTAAAATCCCATCTCATCCCTTGAGGGCGCTCTCCAGGTTTGGTGTAGGAAACTTGTACTGCTCCTGTACCTGTTCGGTGAATAAAGGACTCCATGTTCCCTGGGCTGTCAGTCAGGAACCTTTCACCAGCACAAAGCTTACTAAAGCCTTTATTTAAAATTGCTGAAAAGGTGAGGAAACCCGTCTATCCAGGGCTCGATCACTAATCATGCTGTCTATATTTTGTATTGTGATTGTGGGACAAAGATTGTATTAGGGTGCCTCTGCCAGAGCCTATGGGCTCACAAGTCAGAAATGTTTTGTGCAGGAAAGTGGCTGTATAAACTCTGCTGTAATACAGCAACCAGAGATTGATGGTGCCAAGAGTGAGAGAGAGACATATAAACCTTGCCTTGCTGTATTTAATATCTAGGAACTGACAATGCAAAGAGAGAAGACCAAAGCTCTATAAACTCTACTTTATTACACCATCCATAGATGAACTGCATTGAGGGAATATAAACCCCATTATATTGCAGCATCCAGGGAGTAACACTGCCAAGGGAGAGAGAAAATGCTGTCTAATTTCTGTTTAAGATCATAAGTATCCAGGGACCAGTAATCCTGAAATGAAGAGAGACAGAGCTCCATAATCTCTGATGGATTTTAGCATCCAGGAACAATTGCCCTGAGACAGAGCGATGGAGCTCCGGATTACACCTTTCAAAGATTGATAGTGCAAAGACAGAGGGAGATCTTGCATGACCATGAAGCTATCCACAATAGGAATAGAAAGTGTAGATTGTATGTAATGAGACAGGCCATGGGAATTATTGCTGAGCTTTGAAGTTTCCAATGTGTGGCCTATGTTTCCAGGCTGTCAGGAATTCAAGGTGCAGTTCAGATTTAGCTTTTCATTTAAAAAAATTCTTAGCTATGTGTTAGCACTAGTGCACAGTTCTAAATGAATTGCTGTCCTGTGATTAACTATTATAAATGATCCTGCTCTGTTTGTTTGACATTAATCTTTTTTTCCCTTGTGATTTCAGCTAGAGAAATGACTCGAGGGAAGTTCCTCAACATCCTGGAGAAACCCAAGAAGTAGCTGCTGTTACTGGAACTCCGGCAAAAATATCCCTGTCTGGATCATCTCACCCCTCACTGCAGATCCAGCTGAACACTATGATTTCCTAAAGAGAAGGATAAAGCTCTTGGCTCTAGAACGACAGAAGCAAACCTCTCTACTGCTTCCACAGCTCTTCTCCTTACTGACGAGCAGCATTCCAGACATTGCTCACAATGATTGTCAGTAGTTCCATCAGCACTGAGACTTCATCCAATCTTTTCGGCACCCGATTGCCAGGAAAGCTCAACCCTCGCATGCTGTGGCAAAGTTATGCAGCAATCTTTCTATAAACCATTCAAAGCAATACATCCCCAGTGGCCTCACTCAGTTGCTCTCAGTGGTGGCATCTATTAAACCAGGGTCTTTGTGATGCTGGCCAGTACCTCTGGGTGATGCATTGACTCTTCCATGTCTCTCTCTTGCCTTAGGAATAGTGAGTCCATGTGTGTAATTTACATGCTGAAAGCACCATTGCAGTGCTGGTTATAAGCAGGGTTCTGGATGAAGACTGACAGTTCTAGGATTGGTTAGTCCTGGATCTGCACAATCGTACCCTGCTTACAAGGCAGGTGGAACTTGTTCTGTGTACTAGATTCACATTACTCACACCCTTCAGAGGAGGATGTCTTGCAATCAAGGGAAGTCCTTCAATCCTGTCTATACTATTCTGCTCTTCATTCCACAAATACTTGCATCAGGTGCTATGTGTACAGGGAGCTCCATCTCAGTGCTAAACATTTGTGTGTTCTCTTGTTAAACCTAGACCGATGAACCATAGGGAGTGAATGAGAAAAGGTGGCTATTACTGTATCATGAAAGAAAATATCCCTGTGGGAACTTCTGCCAGGACACAAACAGATCTATCAGCCCACTTTGCAAATCCAGCTCAGTGAGAGTCCGGCTGAGGTACTGGAGGAAGATACAGGGTTGAAGGGCAATAATGTTTTCAATTATAGAGAGCTTCAAGGTGAAGCGACTGTCTTGTTCACACCCCCATGGGGATAATCTTCATAAACAGCATCTGCATACTTACACTTGAAAATAGAATTCTGATGTGTTCCCACATTATTAGAAAACAGCAGCCCCGGAACTTGCTTCACCTGCAAACGTGGAATGTGCACCCCATTAAGGGGAGAATTGTACTGTAAGCTAGTATCCTCCTGTTCAGATTGGGTCTCATTCATCTGGTACTGGAGTACTTTTTAGTGCCTTGAGGCCCACCTGGTACTGGAGTACTTTTTAGTGCCTTGAGGCCCACCTGGTACTGGAGTACTTTTTAGTGCCTTTCCTCTTTGAACATGCTGCTGTGTATCAGTCTTGTGTTTTCAGATTTTATTTTTCTCTATAAGGTTGACACAGCTCTTATTTCACTCTGTTTTCTTTTGCCCAGTAAAATTACGTATTCTAGAGTTAACAAACTGGTCGTTCCTCAGGCTAAAAAATAGTTCTAAAGTGTTGGTCCAAGAGCAGTTTTCTCTCTTTGTTCAAACAGTTTCATACACATTTTAGCATGTGTGCCCTTTAAGTTTAGTCATTCTCCAATTTGCAATTGGCTGTGAGGTGTGAACTGAATCGGGGCTGTACTTGTACAACATCATATTAATGGACTGTCCTTGAAGCATTCCATTCTTCTGTCTTGGGGTGGACTCTGCTTTTAGGCCCCGTGTGCATTAGTGAGGAGCAGATCTCTGCTTGGGAGCAGACTTCTGATTTTTTACTAAAATTTTTAAAGCCTTTCCATCTTCAGTCTGTGGGTGCCTCCATTTTGTAAATCAGAACTAGGCTAAATTGGGAAAGCTCCTCTTCACTAAGCTTGCACAGTTAAGACCTTGTTCTGCAAAGACTTACTCAAATGCTTAACTTTGAGCACGTGAACAGTCTGATTGAACTCAGTGGGGATGTACTCATATGCTTGTCTTTGGAGAATTGAGACTTAACAAAGCAGCTGCATCTCTTGAAAGGAGGGGCAATAGGATAGTAGGAGATGCAGAGAAACTGAGAGTGGGGAGTCAGAGACAGGAAAGGGACTTGCTTAGTTGCGGGTCAGAATGGACATAGATGTAGCTTTGAAAGTATTAATTTAAAGTATATGTTTGTTGGAAAATATTAACATTTGTATGTCTAGTTTGGATGTGTTCTGTATATATAGAATGTGTGGCCCAAAAGTGACTGTTGTGAATTTTGGTCCTTTGTTGCCTGTTATGGAGGTCTGCCACTCCAACGCATGAGGTGTTTGGGAAGCTGAGAAGTATAGAGGTAGACCCCGGAAGTTTGCCACGAATCTGCATGCCTATTTTATGATCTGGCTGGTAAAATATCTCAGACTTCAAGTAGTTGGTACCATAGCATGTAAAAAATCCTTTCTTTTACCCTCACCCTGTGCAGCAGTACTTATCTTCTAGCTGTGGGGCAGCATGTGATATATGCTTTAGATTCAAGATATTTATTGGTTGTGTACTTGTCATTTATAAAGATGAATCAGTGATTTTTTTTTTATTGGTAGTATTTACATGTATTTTTGTGTGTTAGCCAGAAGATTGTAATCTGTCTGTCTGTTGCTCTGTGTTCTTATAATAAACAAGTGCAACGCTTACAGAATGGTATGAGTTTTCTTGAAACAGCCCTGTGAAATGTGGAAGCTGTGACCAACCACCTAGGAAATGTTCCTTAGCAACAGGTTCTCCACCATTAAAGTTTAATATTAAGGCACTTTTCTGCATCCCACTATATCAGTTTGTGACCAGCAGGCGTTGCCTCCTCATTGGTAAATAAGTGGCAACAGCCAAAAAGAACTAAGAATTTTTAGCAGCCTTCACAAGCTCCATTTCTTTCTGCTGTGATGTTCTTCCCAATTATGGGACAGTTATAGAGCAGTAGCAAATGTTTGCAACTGTGTGTGTGTGAGTGTGAGATTTTTATTTTATAATGAAAAATATCAAAAATAGTGAAGAAAAGGAAGAATAAAGGCAGAATTAGGAGGGAAAGGAAAATCAAAACTTGATTGCATTATCCCAGGGTAGTCATTATCCCAGGGATGCATTACTTGCATCCGACGAAGTGGGCATTCACCCACGAAAGCTTATGCTCCAATACATCTGTTAGTCTTAAAGGTGCCACAGGACTCTCTTTTGCTTATTACTTGATAGAGCATTGTCATGTGTCTTACCTTCCCCAGTACATTCAAATGTTAGTCTAAAATCCATAGAAATAAAGCTAATAAATCTTCACATATGTACTGTGCCTTTTAAATATCAATATTTTATTAATCCCATTCTATTAGTCCTCTAGCCCTAGAATCATTCAACTTTCAACACAGAAGCATCAGGTGCTGTGCTATTTGTGTAGCTGAAAGAAATACTTGTTCCAGAGAATCCATGGGCTCCTATGCATTAGGTAAAAGAATAGAAAGAGCCAGAGTTAATGGGAGAGAGGAATTTTGTGCAACTTCAAAGCGTATAATTTTGGAACAGTTCCACAACATACTCCTCTACCCCGATATAACGCTGTCCTTGGGAGCCAAAAAATCTTACCACGTTATAGGTGAAACCTTGTTATATCGAACTTGCTTTGATCCACCGGAGTGCGCAGCCCCCCCCTCCCCTCCCCCCCCCCCCCCCCCCGGAGCACTGCTTTACTGCGTTATATCCGAATTCGTATTATATCAGGTCGCGTTATATCGGGGTAGAGGTGTACATGTATATAGCTCCTAGATTCCACCTCTCATTGCCAGTATTTTCCTTTATTACTACTTCATTCATGAGGGACAGGAACTGTATGTTTATACCTGATTAGTTAGATTAAGAAATTTCCTAATCTGCATCAAATGTCTTAACCACCTCTTCTCAAAATGGGAGTATAATTTTAATGTAGGTATCTGCTCCAAGAAGGAGTTCTGTAGCTGTCATATGTTAGGCCTGTGTCATAAATAAGTTAGTTTGGTCAAAATGTCTCAATATTGGATCACTCATTGGTTCTTCATCTGTCTGGAAAGGACAGCATTTCAGCAAGAAGTTCAGTGGACATCCTCAGCAAACAGTATGGTGCCCAAAACAGTTGGTCCCTCAAAAACTCAACAGTCATCTTCTCGAGATGGGGCTGTTAACAAATTGCCACAAATGGAGGGGGGAAGTCTTCAATTTTGATCTAGAAGCGAGAGGCCCGCATTTCAGTGAACAATGCATACCTTCACTCGTGGGAGGAGCTCCTCATAAACATTTGCAAAGCTACCCCATTATCCTACTTAAGACTCTCCTTTGGAATGGTGCCTACAAAAACTTAAGTTAGGCAACTGGTTTTCAGAAAACACTGCCTGTCATGCTGACCAGCATTGTCTCACTGTTCCCTTGTGCATCTCATGTCTCTGTCTGTCTGTATCCACATTGTCTTTTGTCTTCTACTTCAACTGTAAGCTCTCGGAGGTAGTATTTGAAAAGTGCCTAGCACAATGGAGTCCTGATCCATGACTGGGACTCCTAGGTGCTACCATAGTACAAATAACTAGTATAATACATTGGATTCAGGCATTCCTGTCTTTCCCCTGCCGCCTCTCATTGTGAGTATCATTACTAAAATTAGACAGGACAAGGTTCAGGCAATGATAGTTTTGACTTGGATTAATCAGTTTTTATTCTCAGACTTCCTCTCCAAGAAGCTATCACAGGTTCATGATTAATCCGTCCATTTGGGATTCTGGTAGTATGAATACTGGACTGTTAATAATCTCTCTGAATTTAAGTATTCCCTAGAGTTTTAAGAGAATTTCTTGGAGAGAAGGGAGCATTCAACAACAAGAATGTATACAAGGGAATAGAGAAGAGTCTTGCTTGTATTTTTCTAGTTCTATTACAATCTATGGTGTATTCAGAATGACCAATTTGGGGCTATTTCAGACAGTCTGGGTTATCCTTGAGTTCTGTTAAGATCCGATTGACTGCCATCTCTGCTTACTATCTTCTAGATTTTTGAAAGGGTCGATCCATATCTTTCCATCCATTTGCGATCCACCACCTTCTAGGGACTTGAAATTCGTACTTATGAAGCCAATGGAATCACTGTTGAGATTCTGGGAGAATACTCTTCATGCTATTGATTCTTGAAGATTTCATTCCTCTCCTATATTGGATTCCAAGTTCAATACTCTTCCAAAATCTTTAATAAATGCTCCACAAACCCACATACTTTTTGAGGATTGTTACTGCTATTTAATCTCTCAAGAATTGGGATCCATGTTGATCATACTCAAAGGAGAAAGAGAGGTTACTTACCAGTAACTCTACTTCATGTAGATTGTCTGTTCTGATTTACATTTAACTCCCTCTATCCTCTTCTGCTTTGCTAAGGATTCTGAAAAAGTGAAAGGAAGTGACGGAGGCTTGGAATCACTCTCATGTACATCCTTAGGGCTAAATATTAAGTGCCATAAGGGGCCAGTCATGTAGCTCCAATGGCTATCGCTTCCTAGAGAGTTCTGACTGGATGCTGTAGGATACGCAAGTATTCCAAGAATGACTGTCTACTTGAGTAACCTTTTCTCTATTATTGGCCATCGATTACTCCTTGTTGGCATGTTGGCAGAGAACTAGTGTGGAGTTCATTGTGCCCTTTGCAGAGTAGGCATGACCAAAGTTACCCACTTCCTAGAGTAACTGAAACAATAACAGTATAAATCTCAGCCCAAACTTCCTCCTTGAACCTGGATGTTCTTAGAGTTTCCTTCCACAATCTCCTCTGAGCCCAAAGAGACACGTACACACCCCTTATATCACGGTTGAGCTAATTGGATCTACTTGCCAGCATGATAGAACAGTACGTACCCTGAATCTGAAATAGGGTGTTAGTGCTAATACCTAGGGTAATTCAGCAGAAGAGTCCAGCTTTCCTCTAGGGAGTTAGAGTCTGCCGCCCTATCACAAAGTCCTACTGCCCATTGGCAGATGGACCCAAAACAAATCAAGGCCAAAGGTTTGTAGTAGAAACCTCTTTCTCAAGCACTTCCTGGATATTTGAGAAGCATTTGTCATCTATCTATACAACACTTACTGACCTCTTCCTAAGCATGTGTGTAGGCTAAATTGTTGAAATGAGAAAATGCTTATAAATAGTTTGCTCCTTATAAGTAGTTAATGAGGAGCTTGGGCTTTCCTTTGCTGTCCTAGAAATTTGTTTCAGAGTAGCAGCCGTGTTAGTCTGTATCCGCAAAAAGAAGAACAGGAGTTTATGCTAATAAATTTGTTAGTCTCTAAGGTGCCACAAGTACTCCTGTTCTTCTTTTTGCTAGAAATTTGTGTCCCTCTTCTGATGAACCAGTTAGTTACAAAGCTAGTTTAATAGCCACTGATCAGTTTTACTTCTTTCCCTTGGAGCTGGAGCCATGAACATTCACAATAACTTGTAGTGCACTCACTGAGTGAATGTACTACTATGGAAATCCTAGTCTTGAACATTTGTGGGTAGCCAAAAACTGCCATTTTCTGAGTTTTATCCTTTACATTTCTTCAGGTGTTTTTTTTTTTAATACTAAAAGCTGGGTCTGATCCTGCAAACCCCTTTTTCACCTGAGTAGTCTCACTAATGCTTGAGGTTGTAGGGAGAACTTTGAATAATCTGTGATTTTTAGGAAACGTCACACACCAAACTTTCCATACTAGTCCCTATTTTACATATTCCAGGCTATCTCTGCAATGAAGAGAGTTAAAGACTAGAGGTGAAATCCTGGCCTCATTGACAAAACTTCCATTGAATTCAGAAGGGCCAGAATTTCACCCTACCTTTTTAAAAATGAAAGCTGAAATTAGTCTTGATATTTTAGATCTCAGAAAACCAAGGTGAGGGAAAGCATATGGCTGAGGTTTTCATGGACCCTAATGGCCCGGTCTGGGGCTTCAGGATCCTTTGAGATAAAAAGCACTTTAGAGATGTAAGGGTATTCTCACCTGTAGGTCACTGTGGGAGCCCAGGCATGCATATACCTCAGTAACTTTTGTATTTCTTATAAATAAGGCTATGTTTATGTCACGGAGGTCATGGATCCATGACTTCCAGAGACCTCTGTGACATTGTCTGCTTCAGCCCCAGGGTCTGCAGGACGGGAGCTGGCAGCCAGTGGGCCCCTGGCAGAATTCCAGCAATGGGGGCCTCCTGCAAGGTTCCAGAGACAGGTGACAGCCTCATGCGGGGGCCCCCCTCAGGGTTCCAGCGACAGGCGACAGCCTCGTGCAGGGGAGGGGGAAGGGGACGCCTCAGGCGAGCAGCTGAGGGTGTCCCATTTTCTCTTTGGGAAATATGGTCAGCCTGCAGCTTCCAGCTGCCACGGGTAGAGGGGGAACTCCACAGCTCCCAGCCACCAGGATGGCGGGAGAAACCATGGAGCCGCAGCAGCAAAATTCTCAGACAGGTTACGGCTTCCATGAATTTTTGTTTATTGCCCCTGACCTGTCTGTGACTTTTACTAAAAATAATCATGACAAAATCTTAGCCTTACTTATAAACAAGTCTAATGCTAAAATGGACACAAATGAGGAAATTCAAAATCTAAGATTCCCGTCGCAATATGAACCCAACCACAGCTTTCAATATTTAAAAAAAAACCACCAT